CAGCAGAGTAGGGCAGGCGGTGGGTCTCCAGGCTTGAAGCCCCGCTGGTTTGAGTGGGGAGAGCGGGCGAGGCGCCCTCCCAAGGTCCCTCCAGCCTCGCTTCCTAGGACTCTGTCTGCCAGGGGAGGCGGCTGGGGGCTGCGGGAGCAGCTCTCACCCCCACGTTTTCTGTGCTCCCTTGGCCGCCCGCCCACAGCCGGGCCCCGGGCCGGGTGCTGGCTGCGCAGCCCCACCTTGCAGCCCTCACCCCCCCCCACCCCGTCGGCGCTGGCTTGCGGCAGGATCTGTGGCCCCTGCCCTGTGTTCAGCGGGAGCGTCCTGCAGCCGCCCGGGTGCCCCTGTGGTCAGGGTGGTTTTGGCCTGTGTGTGACATCATGTGCTGAGGGCTGTCCTGGATCAATCCAAGCTTGATGCCTCTGAGCAGCCCCTGCTCTCCACTGCCGAGTCTTGTGCTTAAAAGGAAGCATGCTGTAGAAAAGCAGCAAAGCCAGGCTTTGAAACCTGGCTCCTTTTCAGGACAGGAGTGCTGTGGAGGTGGCACGCTTGAGCCTTTATCATCCCTGTGTGTGGGCAGTATTGCCTTGTGTCTGAAGGCTTTCTCTGACAAGCAGTGCTAAAGGGTTAATCCATGTATGGGGTGGGGAGGGGAATCCTTTGACTGGGAGCCTGTGGGAAAGAAGCAGGAGGGAAGACTCTTAGCACAAAATCCCCTCTCCTTCTCTCATACTTACTGCCCTGGGACTTCATAGTTTCTATTTTATTGCATCTCCTCCTTCACCTTGTATGATCAGAGATTCCTGATAGCCCAGAGCAACCTACGTCTCAGCCACACCCTCAGATACCTGTCCCATGCTGCCCTGCTTCCTTGGAAAAGGGCCTTTGGGTATGTATACTGGAGTACAGGATCCAGTCTTGAAAATACTAGTACGAACGAGCTCTTGGCTGCCCCCCCCTCCCCTTGGTTATTATTAAAGCTTATTTTATGTGTGGAAAGGCCAAATCTCTTTCATCTCTAAAGCTACTCGGCAGACTCTGCCCAGAGGTGCAGATACCACTGGCTGAGACTGGGCACGGTGGAATCCCAGCCTTTTCCCTTGCTTATGAATTTTCTTTTTGAGCGCAAAGGTTTCTGTTGCCACCTGCTGCTGACCTGTTATAGTCTCAGGAGGAGGTGAAATGAAAAGGACAGCCTATAGAAAACACAGTGCTGGTTCCACAGGGTTTAAACCTGCCAGGCTGAAACTTTGTAGCCTGTGATCACCAGAAAGAAAAAACAAAATCTCTGAAGGTGGGTTCTTGCAGAGACCTGGTTGAATGATGGAAGCCTGGAAAGAAATTAAACCGAAGGGGCCTGAGGTAGTTATGCTACTTATTAACTTTCAAAGGTGGAGGGCCAAGTGACAACACTAGAAGCACTTCAACACCATAGAGAAATATAAAATATGTTGTTTTAAAGCATCTGGGCATTGGGCATTGGACACAAAGAATGTCAGAGAGGTATGGAAATAGTAGTGCTGGAGAAGTTGTGTGTGAATCACTACTCAGTATTGTGCCTAATACTGTTGCTTTTGGTATTGTCTCCAAGGCTTTGCTCTCAGTGGTTGAGTGTAAAATGTGATCGGTATCATGACTTGGGCTCAGTCTTTCAGTTACAGCGACCTTTAGTACCAGCCTTTCTTGCGCCCCAGAACCTGTGAAAAGGGACTTGTACTGGTCCGGAAACAGAAAAGCTGAGCTTGTTCAGGAGAGTGGTTTCCTGGCTTGTAGTAAAGGAATCCTTCAGGGGTGGAGAGCAAAGGTAACCTGGCTGACCTCCACTGTCTTACCGTGGTGTAACCAGTACTTCGGTCCTAGGTTGCGAATGTTCAGTTCTTCGAAAATATGTTTCTTTCTGAGTGTTGGGCTCCCAAGCTGTCTGTTCTCCCTTTGGGTGATTCTTATTGAGGGAATAGTACAGCAACACGGCTTCAGCATCATCACGACTTCTGTGCTACTTCCAGGCTTACTGCTGCCTTCTCAGAGAGCTTGGAATTTAAAGACTATTTGAGCAGAGGCCTGGGGTCAAGAGCCTCCT